CCCCCCCGACCCTTTTAAATCCTAGGGCAATCACACGAGAAAAAAAACATAAGAAAAACAAACGATTACAAGACAGTTTCTGAATACATCTACCATTTGCTAATTAAGTTTTTCTATGTCTTTCTTATAAGAAGCATCGAGACTCTTTGCAAGTACAATTGACTTTCACTACTGACTGGGATTTTCTCCCTATAATGAAGAGTGAAGACTATCAGTGTATTAATATAAATGCTCTGCTCCAAACGACAATAAGAAATTGCACACACCCAAATATATTTGCCAACTTTTTTGGGGAACATTTTAAAATAACTTATGAAATAAAAATATAATATATTCCAGATATTGTTGTTGTCTCTTTTTTAATTCACTTTGATATTGCGTATCCTCAAAACGTTCTTAGACCTAGGGCAAACGAACTTTCAATGCACCAAACTTAATTACATCAAAGAATGCCGCCTCATCATCACCTGATATCCATTGTTTTTAATGATATCGATGCATGGAAAGTTCAACGTTTGCCCTAGGCCTTAGCGATCATTTACCGTCCTTTTTACCATCAGTTAGCCAACTTTTATTGTTAAGGGTTGTCATTAAGATATTGGTTTTGGAATCGAAATCAGAAAAACACTCGTACAAATTGATTTTGAACTCCTGCAGTTTTTTCAAGACATGAGGGAAAAGTCTGTACTTTCATATTTCTTGAGGCAATACGATTTGAACACAAACTAGTTACAACTGCTTTATAACTTAAATGGATATTAGACTCCTACGCAGGGTACCTCATATATTCTCCGTTGGGATCCCTGTTTTAAATCATGGCAGAGAAGAACTACAAACGAGAGAGGAGTGGGGATGAAAGAGGGAGAGAAAAAGCGAAGCTTCTTATTTCTCCCTCCCCTTCGACATTTTTGTCCTCACCACAGGAAGCCCAATGAGCAAAAAGAGCCAAGGAGATGCCTACCGTATGTCCTTGAAAATTTTTGTAAGAAATTGCATGAACGGTAAGTTCAGTAGACGTCTGTCAATAGACCGTAGACCTATGAAAATCGTTAGACCAATCTGTACAATTTTCTTAGCCTTTTCACGGCGGTTATGCACTTTATGCGGGGGTCAGTGAGCTATTAAATTTTACGAAGCCTTATGCAAGTTTAGTAAGTGGGCTCACTTGCAGGTTTGTTGGCGCAGAGATTCATTTAATGAGTTTGTTATTGTCTGTTGGGGTTGAGGACAGAATTCATAAAAGCGCCGTACAAATAGCAATTGAAGATATCTGATGTGATTTTAATTGATGTTATCAAGTGGAATCCTAATGACAAGTGGAATATTGTATAGAGGGATCTCAGCCCTGTAGAAGAACTCTTCACGTTCAAGGGCTCCAGTGTGTTCAAAGGCTCAAAATCGTGTTCGCACAGTGCGCTATCGTAGACTGAATTTTCATACTCGCTACTGATAAACTTTAAAAAATGATAGACTTTTAAAAAATTGCTAAATTTTATTTTCATTTATTTTTGAAACTTAACCAGGACTATACTTCCAGACATCGAGTGCTGAATCGTCGTATGGCATTAACGGCTAGGCTGCAGATTTCGGCCCCAACGACGATCAGGAAGCTCTGCAAAAGCTTAAGAGAGAAGTTACATTGCTATGACCAGCAAACCCAAAATACCGGTTGTGTCGCTGATGGTTAATATCCATGTTTACTCCTTTCCATGTGGGACGCGAATTGAAAAAATAGCCCACTATTTATCAGTATTGTGGCCAGGCCATAGTCAGGCAAATTGCACTGTTAGCCATCACAAGTGCTATTTAGTCAAAACTCCTGCTATCGTAAAAATATGGACTTTCAAACCCAAATACACGCATGCGCAAACGGTTTTTGCTAGCGTCGTGGGGGGGGCTCATGATAAGATGTTTTACGGTCAGGAATCACTAGAAAAATTCAACTCCTTTTACTACAAAGGTGAAAAGGTGGTGTAAGGCTCCAACACTTGATATGAGAATATTTTACAAAGTTCTCTGGTTTTCCTACCTTCACAAGCAAAATTCTTTTCGCCGGATCTGTGAGTTAGCCGTGCCCTGACTTAGATCAGCCCAGAGGTTGTTTCAGGGTTCGATCTGTGAGTTATATTAGCCGTGCCCTGATTTAGATCTTTTAGGGTTCGGTCAAATTTGAAAGATAGGCAAAAATCACGCTAGGAACTTGCCATGCCGTGACCATGTCTGACCACTTTGGTTCGGTAATGTAATAATCTTTGGTTGTGATTGGTATGAAGAAGTGAAGAAGGATATAATCAAGCGTAGCGTGACAGTGGCGTGACAGTGGCTGTGATCTACTCTATAACCTAGAGTAAAGGTGGTGTTACACGGGCCAACTTGTAACGCCGATTGTTGCACGAAAAATCGTTGCCGTGTAACATAGCGCCGAGGACGATTTTTCGCGCAATATTTCACTCTGCAACACGTTGCAAGTTTTTGATCTGGCTTCAAAAACTTGCAACACGAGATGACGAATTTTCAGCAAATCGATGTGTGTAACATGTCCATCGCCGATTTGACGCGCAACAAAATGGCGCTGACTGTAGAAGAAGTAAGTTAAAGAGTACAGCAACTGCAGCGATTGTCCAAACCTAACGAAACGGATAAGATGAAACTTTTGTAGTTGATAAAAAATGATAAAAGCAAGAAACGAAGAAAAAAGATAGCCGTGAGTGTGTTGGCAGTGCGTGGACTGAATACTAACGTCGTGAATGTTGCGCGAAAAGTTGTTCCCGCCTAACATGTCGCAAAAAATCGACACACAAATGGCGCAATAGCGTTGCACGAAAAATCGGTGTTGCAAGTTGTCCCGTGTAACACCACCTTAACTAATCGATGATAATCGGATAATTAATCAATAATACTGGTAATCGATTAATAGTAGTAGTACATGACTTTATTGATTAGTAATCGATGATGGTAGTTATTATAGATAATGATAGTCGATAATAAACAATGAAAGTCAATGATATTCGATGATTATCAATTGTAATCGTAGCCTGCGTTCAGTCGCTACTGAATTTATCTCGCAGGCAATAGTATTCGATGATATTCTTATGATTAAGAAACTTCCCCGCGTGATTATCGCGGATTAACCATCCATTACAGATATTAATCGATTATTATCGATTAAAATCGATTTATCAATTAATAATACGATGATCGATTTTCCGGCATAAGAAATATGTTTCCATAAACGTTTTGTATAGGAAATCGCACAATCTCGAGTACAATTCAGAATTTACAGGTACGAGTGATGTTTTGAAAGTTTTCAAAATTGGACGAGCCTTTAAGCAATTAATTCCAATTTGAGAACTTTCAAAACATCACGAGTATCTATAAATTACGAATTGTACGAGAAGATTGTGCGATTTTTTGTTTCACTCAACAAAATTGTGGCATTGTACTCTTCTTGTTCAATCAGAATCGAGTATTTTTGTCGAGTGTATTAAAACATCGGGAAACACTGTTTCCATGCGACGCTATGCTACAGAAACATACTATTGCTTCTCGGGAACAAAAATTGTCACGTGTAGCAATGTTTCGCACGTGACTGAACTGGGAAGCATCGAAGAGACATGCGCAGAGCGGTATAAACATGTTCCTAAAAACATGTCTTCTCCTTTATTCAGGGCTTAATACTCAAGTAAGACTTAAAATAGAGAATCATTATGTCTAAATTCTTCAGTTGTGGCTATAATAGTAAGACAGAGTTCCTTTTGTATTTCCAAAATTTGAAATCATGAATTTGTACACGATTTATTACCATATTCATTTCTCTGGCTGCATACTCACGCGTACTCTTACGAACGTGCCTAAGCTTAAGTGCAGTCAGCTGTCTTGAAAAATAATATGAAAAAAGTCTATGTGACTCTTGAGACAAGCAAATATTGCACGAGTATGGGAGCACACTTATTTAGTTATTTAAAAACCGGAAGTCGATGGATTAAAAACCTTGGTTTTTACCAACATTCGTAATACAAAGGACTTGAGCTTTACAGGAAAAGAACATCCATATAAAGAAAACAGAAGAAAGGAGCTTGTGAAACATCTATAACACCTTTGCATGTAGTATTAAGCTTCGTAATGACGCAATGAAACAGTTGTTTATTAAATATATCTTTTCTTTTCAAGCACACAAGAGAGGCTTAGTACTTTTCTGCTTACAGTAGTACAATTTGCAAAGGGGTCTTTTCTAAACACGCGGAGCTCAGTGATGGGAGCACAAACACCGGGAAGAGTTTTTAACAAATCGGCGTGGTTCAAGATCAATCGTGGTTCACTTTCTTTGAATACGAACAATATCAAACTTGTACTCTTCTCAATGTTGCAAATATATATATAGTTAACGATAATGCTGAGCCGGGGCTAGAAAACTATTGGTTATATAAAGCATTTCTTTTCGTATTTTGAGATTACTGTTCGCTTATCAATATCAATCTTTAGAACATGACTTGAGTTTGATGTTAATCGATATTGATTTATCTACACCGCGTAAAAAAATAAAAATAAGATACACGTGAATACGCTGGGCTGGAGAAAAAGGTTTGTCATGCAGTATCCTCTTCATGGCTGACGTGTATGCGTCACAAGACATCATTCATGATGCATTGTCCTTACTCTACGTGCATCATGCAGTCAGTCAGTATCGATACAAACGAAAAAGCCGAGAGAGAACATGTCATGAAATACAAAATCTATTTTTGAAAACACGGCACGATGAAATGTCCGAAAAATATTCCCCCATCTTCATGAGGTCGGTTTTCGAATTCTTTTGGAATTAAAGTTCGCAGACACCTAACCTGCAAGAGCGTTGTCATATATAAGGATAGTAAAATAATAAAATAACAAAATAAAGTCTGTTTTTAGCAAATCTGGTGCAGTTCTTTAGCCCTGTTTTGAAGATATCGTACATACGTTTTTATTATCATGTTTGTATATACAGTTA